GTTTGAAATGTGTTCAAAATATATTCAGTTGTTGTTGAAGCTGGTGATATAATGATCTTGTTTTTGGTCATTATGATCATAAAGTCATTTTTCAATAATTCAACTATTGATATTAAGTTGGAGCTCTCACACTTATTAATGTACACACATTTTAGATCCTTGTTCTGAAATTTCAGTGTTCCTTGTCCATCAGCTGTTATTATGGATCCATCAGCCAATTTGATTGGTATTAAACAAGGTTCCAAATTGTCAATGATCTTTTCATCATTTGTCACACAAACCGAAGCACCACTGTCCAGTATGAATCTGGTGTTGTTGGACTCAGCTTCTGATTGAAATTTGTGAGATTCAATTGTTGGTAGTTGATGCAAGTCATCTGTTTCATTGTTGTTGTTGATGATTGTGATATTATCTTCTGTTTCAGTATGTGATGTGGTTGTATTTGATGATGTTGATGAATCTATCATTGGGATGTCATTGGTTTTAACAATATTTAGTTGCTATTTGTTCTCATTAATGAGCTTTAATGTTTTAGCAATCGTTTCTTGATGTCCCTGAGGTTTATACTTGAGAAGTTGAGTGAGTTGCTGTTGAAATTTTTCAAGTGATGAAACTTTTCCAGTTAAATCAAATACATGTTGATTTATTTCATGTCTAATACCACAATGATGACAATATGGCGCTTTATCCCCAATTGAACTGTGTCCTATATCTGATGGTATGCTGTGATAATACTTGAAATAATTTCCACCTTCAGGACCTTCAGTTCTTATCAAATTTGCAAACTTGGGATTGGTAAATGGTTTTGTCGTTGATGAAGCTGGTTTTTGATCACTAAACTTTGAACTAGTCCATTGACGTGATTTGTTCTGATTTTTATCATAGCTAACAGGTGTTTCAAAATCCACTTGTACTGTATTGATCTTTACCATGTCATTGTTTCTGTTGACATTCAACACATTTTCTTTCCCTTCATGCAAAAATTTCTCCAACAACAGTCCATATGTGATTTCTCCTTTCTCATGAAATATGCTTTTAATGAATTTCAAAATAAATTTGTCACTTTCAGGGAAGAATTTTCTTTCCTGATTAAACAGCATTAAAGTGATCACTGTCTCTAATGCAGCAACCAAATTGTTTTGGTGTTTGGTTTTGAATTCTTCAATGGATTTTTCTCTACTTTTGAGAAAACTTAGGAAGTCATTTGGAATTTCAAAATTGTTGGTCAATTTCACTGCAGAGTTGTAAATTGGATGTATAACATTTGGTACATGAACTGTTGCAACTAGATCCAAATATTCTTGTGCTTTGGAAGGATGTGTGTCTCTTCCTAACTTGTTGTATAAATATTGAAAATTCAAGGTTGATGATAAGGTGGTAATGAGATGCTTGTTGATAATTTCATATGCAGCTGGATATAATTTTGTAATGGTATTGATGTCCAGTGGTGTATAGAATGGATTTGGTAAGTTTAACCACTCTGAGTCTGATGTTGGCAATTTGTTCACAAGACAATAGTACCACGCTTGAGAAAACCCATTTGGAATTTGTTTGAAACATTTGTCTTTCAAGGTTGTAATGATGTTGATGGGTGAATCATTCTTCAATCATTCTTTTAATTTAAATTCTTCAAATGCTGGTAAATTGAACATTATTTTCATGTTATTGATGGTGGTTTGTTCAAAACTCATCATTATATCATTAAATTGCACTTGATCAGACACATGATTTTGTTGTTGCAGAGGTTGTTGAACAGCTTGAAGTAACTGTAATAGTTGAGCAAGTGTTTGTGGATCCATTGAATTGAGGACATTAGTAGCAGCATTAGCGTTTGAATTTGTGCTATTGGTTCCAAGTTGTGTATTATTTGATAAACCAGGTGGAAGTGATGAAGGTGCAGATAAACCTGGAGGAAACAATGGTGCTGAATTTGGTTGAGGTAATCCAGGTGGTGGGAAAAAAGTGCGATTTTGATTTGACCCATTTGTTTCATGGTCCGTTTCAGTTGAATTAGAAAAATTTTCATTTTGTGCAGATAATGCAGCTTGTTGAGCACCATTTGTTGAAAAATTTTCTTCTGAAGTGGTTGAGTTTGGTGTGTTTTCAGATGTTGATGCAGCATGTGATGCAGAAATATTGTTTTCAATTGCTGTAACACGAGGATTAGCTTTGGTTTTTCTAGCTGGTTTTCTGGTTTTGGTTACTCTAGTTGTTGAAGAGGTTGAAGAGGTTGAAGAGGTGTTTCTTCTGTTGGAATTTCTTGTAACAGCCATTGTTTCTAGTTGATGTTGATTTAATGATCACTTGTTTTATTTTATTCGTGGTTTTAACCTGACAGAATATCCTCTACTGTGTATATATAAGGCAATTCCGATGTTCTATTAATATACATATAATGTTACAATTTGTGGATTCTTGATTCTTCTTATAGTTGATGTGAAATGTTGAGTATTGATGAATTGTGCATAATTAGTTATTCTGGTTATGTAATACCTGACATTCCCCCCCTCATTTCTGAGTATTTATTGAATGTAATAATATTAAATATGATGAAACTTGTTTTGGAACTATACTGTGTTGTCTTTTGTTAACCGGTGTTAAAGTGGTTGTGATTGAATATGAAAGAATGAGTGAAGTACCTATAGATTTAAAAAGAAATGATTCTTGAATGGTGTGGAGGTTAATGTCTTTTGAATTTCAGGACCTGAGTATTTCTTGGTGAGAAAATCTGAGCAGTTTGAGATACCTGAAATATGATGGAATGTAACAATGTTATCTTCTTTGTAGCATTTAAGTTGTTTAAATCTATTGTAGTGATCTCCAAATAAATTCTTTTGATTGTTTGGTGTTGTTAATGAAGTGA